TTGTCTGCTTTCCCCTGGATTTGGAAATGTGCCCCGTTTCCCGGATGAAGTATGGCTTTCTCTGCACTTGCTGTAGTATCTGTCCAGCTGTTGGTTTAGGTTGTTGGGGCACAACAGGGGCTGGCACCTCCCTGGAGGCTGGAAGTGGCGGGGGCTCCCAGGAGTGGCCAGGCAGGCCTGGCAGCTGGGGCCTGTCCTACCACCTTGGGCCTTTGGTGGTGGGCCAGGCCCTGGCTGCAAAGCCCTGCCCAGTCACCCTCAGCCAGGGAGCAGGGTGGGCTGAGGAGCAGCCAGGGGCAGCCCCAGCATCGGGCACACCTCCCTGGGGATGGGAACAGGTGAAGACTGGGCCAGGATGTTGGTCCATGGGTGGGCCAAGCTTGGCAGGGCCCACGGCCAGGCAGGGCAGGGCAGTGCCATGGTGAAGCTGTAACCCAGGCAGGGACCAAGTCCTCACCCGAAAGCAGCTCCCACAGGCAGGGGTTGGCTTCATGACTATTCCATCAGGGAGCTTTTCCCCGCAAACCCAGTGGGATAGGGCCACCCTCAGCAGTGTACATGGCTGCACAGCCAAAGCCCTGGCAGGTGAATGGGATCATGGCCCTTAGTGGTGGTAACGGCCACAGACCAACCATGCAGCCATGTACAGGGGAGGGTGGCTGCCACAGTGTCTGGCACCACACACGTGCCATCCTGTTTGGAACAGCTAAGATCGTATCTCATTTTAGGCAGTAAGTATAAAATGCACCTCTAAAGTTTGCTTGATAAATGCCTTCTCTCACTCTCTGCCTAGGCTGGGAGGCTAGTAAGCCATGAATCACTTCTTAAGAGTTCACCAGAGCTTTGCATAGCATTAATTTCTCTTCATAGGCATCTATGTGTAATACAAACAAAACTGAATCCCATAAACATTAAATAAGGAACATTATATTAATTACAAAGTATCTATAGTTTAAAAACCTCATAGTCAAATCCTGATAAAATTGTAGTAAAGCATATTTACAGATGTGTTATCTTTTATGAAGCCAATTAAATTATTAGCGTTTCTCTGCATGATCTCTAGTATTTCACTGGAGAAAACTTTAGTGTCTTCGAATTGTTCATTCAGATACCCTGCTAATTACTTAACCGTTAAGACAATATATTATCTTCCCCCAGGCTTTACAGAAGTCAAATCTCATGCAGTTCATATAATTAGTAACTCACAAAGTCACTTCTGTTAGATAACGTTAGGGAAAATAAGATGCTTCCCGGTGATTTGGAAGTTAGAAAAAATACTCTGTGGTAACAAAGATAAACCCAAACTTTAGGGTTCTTTGCATAGTCATTTTTAAAAGCTTTTTCAGATGGCAGCTTTCCATAGTTTAGTTTACACTAACCTATGCACAAATAATTTGTGAAAATGATAGATGCAATAAATATTAATGGAGCAAAGAAAATGTTATGAGAAACACTTTGAAAATACTAATTTATCAATAAATTTATTACTGATTTATCAATCCAGAAACTCTGCATACGTAAATATCTGGAACAAACTTTTAACTTACTTGTAATATATTTACATAGGGTATGATTTTGCATAGGAAAGATGGCTTTTTTCCTTCTACAAATACAAAACCACAGCCCATTGATAATTAAAAGTTTCTGAGTTTCTGATTTGCCCATCAGGCAGTTTGTGCACTAAGTAATTTCATGTGGCTGAAACTGCTACAGGAGAACAAACAATAGAAACAGTAGGAAGCTAGGCAAGACCTGAGGAACTTGATTAACATTAAGCATGTAAATAAGCCTATTGATTAATCCCTTTACAGAGTTGTATCCTAATCCTTATTTTAGATAGCATGTGACTTTAAGACTCTAAAATTCAATAAATCTAGTGCTTGTGAACGGTTTGATATCACAATCTGCAGTCACACACAGTGATTTACATGCAATAATGCAATCTGCAGTCTCATAGCAGAACATTTACAAACCCCAATTTTACAAAATGTTATGCATCAATCAAATTACAATGGAATGCATATACCATTGACGACTTTGTGCAATTTTCTTGTAAATTTTAATTGGAATTTCTGCAAGCTACTGTTGCCTTACAATGGTCTTACACAGCCTTAAGCTCCACAAACACCTAAGGCCAAAGGAACAGGGATATTCTTTTTCTTTTCTTCAGAGGGAAACATATCTCTGAAATCATAGTAGTTGAGGTATTTTCTAAATGGGCTTTTAAAACCTGGGTAGTAACTCTAGTGCTTGCAAATTTTCTATGGAAAATGGTAAATTTAGCAATTGTTTTTGTTAATTGTGCCACTGAAAGACAGTATTTGTTAGCAGAGTCTAAGCTTAGATATGTACAGCAGCTGAAGTGCTGTATTTCGGATTCATGTTGTGTATTCATTGATTTTGATAGAGTAACAGTTTACTTTCTTTCACCTTGAATGTTGGCAATCAACACTGAGTTATCCAGAGGAGTTATCCCAAGCTTGTGATCATTTGGGGGTTTTCAACTTGTGTCATTTTATCTTGTTTATGAAGGGATGGGTTTTGTCTGAAAGTATACAATAGTCATAGTTGTGTGATTCTGCATTTGAACAGGGAGCAGGTTATCCATAGAAAAGCTTCCCTGATATCTTCCTCTGCCTCAGAATTTGTGGTACATACCTGGCTTAATGGGTAAATGTATTTGGGTTGGCTCCAAAAGAAGTAAAACGACCCCCTTATTCATTCATTGTTTTTTTTCCCCACCTTTTCCATGAGTATGTATGTGCTTTCTTTTAAGAGATATACCATATCAAAACCATAATTGCTTTAAATATATTACAGAATACTGTTTCAGAACAAAACATTTCCTTTTTTAAACTGGAAATTAATCTCCTTGAGTTTTATTTTGGAATAGCGAACCGCTTGAAGTTTAAATAAAAAATTTCTCTTGAAAGAAAACTCTGTTTCTTTTGATCCAAAGTGGTTTGTCATTTGGGGGACAGAAGGGAAGAAGGAATGATTTCGGAACTGACAGACATGAGTTTCAGAAGTAATAAGGATTTTAAAGAGCACTCATTTTGCTTTGACTGAAAGTATAACCTGGAATTGCCAACTTGTTAATCACAAACAACTTTGTATTGCATCATTTGTATGAAAGGTAGCTATTAAAAGCAAGAATTTAATATTCATCCTTAGGTAAGCCAGGGCAGGATTTGGGCATGAGAAAAGAGCAGGCAAGCATAACACCCTTCCCTGATTTTGCCTTACCTTGTCTCTTCCTTCCAGCAAAGCTAAGAGGAGTCAGTGCCTGCAGCCTATTTCTACAATGCTGCCTTCTTCCATGCACCAAACCTGCTGTATTCTGTCTTTCCAATCAGTAGAAAATTACCACTCACTATAATCACAACTGTATCAGACCAGTATCCTTCTATGACAGCAGGGTGGGATTTGTCCCTAGCCTGTTCAACAAAGTCAGAAGAACACACTGGGAGGAGAACCGCTGAAATTGTTGGGTCAAAATTAAGCTTTCAAAATTATATTTGAAAAATTGGCTTTTGGATTCTGATAGGTATTCAACTGTTATCTTTTTCAGTCCCATCTTCTCACTATTTTTCCCTCAGCTACTAATGAAACTGCTTTTATATCAAGCAAGTCCTTTGGAGTCAGAAGAAAAACTGATCTGTGTATATGTTATCTATGAGTTAATATCTTTTAGCAACTCACTTAAAATGAACTGACAGTGAATCCATAAAATGCATACTTTTGGGTACTTTTTAAAGAATGCCTCATTTTAATATTGTTATTTTGTCTTATTACAAGAGAAGAAAGTACTGCCTAGTTTCTCTAGAAATGTAGAGAAAATAGTCTTGAATATGTCAAAATGAGAAAAAGCCACATGGATCTTTGAAATTATATTTATAGCAATGGTTTCCATTCTACTGCTGGAGGAGTCAGAAGGAATATGAATCTGTACAGTGTATACATGTTTGAGTTGCTCTTTTATTTGTTTCAGTTCTGTTTCCAGATTGGGAAGCCAGAAGACGGTAACTGCAATACATGCTGGCATGTGTAAATGTGGTAGTAGAAAGAAATAAACCTCTGTTTAAACATGTGTGATGAAGTCTGAGAATGGTTTTAAAGTAATATTTCAGAATGCAAACCTGGCAGATTTATGATAAGATTTATTTTAATGAATTGTTTCTGCTTTAAAGGCCAGCAAAAAGGCATGTGAGGCTGTGCTGTGGTAAAGAACAGCAGGGACACCCCACCCCCTGCTCCAAGTAATTGGGGGCATGGTGAGCTCTGACCATCACAACATTCTCCATCCTCAGGGTAGTGCTGTCCAGGTTGTTTCCTGGCACAATTAGGAGTAGCCTCAGGCTTGCAGCAGTTTGTGCTAGAGGGTATCGGGATCTCCTTCCTACATGTCTGAGGGTGGTTAGAGCAGCACCTCCCAGCCTCTCATGCCAACAGGGTGCAGAGGACCCAGCTGATGTGGCCTTTCTGTCAGAGGCTGCTCAGGGGACTGTACAGAAGTCAGACCCATCTACAAATATATAAGGATGTCATCCTTGTCTCATCAAGGTATCGTGAGGGTAGACATATTAAGCGTTGCAAGTCTCCGTTACATAAATAAGGAAGCCATATAAATAGCTTTGGTGTGTAAGAAGTTATCTCACTCTTTCTTATTAACAGATGGAACCTACATAAAACATAGGTAATGTGCTTTTGTTTAGTGATATTAATGAATTTGTCTAGATAACAATTTCAAGCAGCAGTGAGGACTGTAAACTTGGAAGTTGTCTCTTTTAATGATTTTCCCATTATATAGCAGAAAAGGCTTTTGGGGTTTTTTTTTAAGTCTATATACCAAAAATGAAAGCTGCGAAGAATTGTATGATCAAAATAGCATATATATTTAGGTTGGAAAGGAAAGAAGGCACATTATAATGGCATGGAACAGATTTTACTTATGACCAAAACTTGCTTCTATTAATGAAACTTATTTTCTTGTTTTGCAGCTTGCAGGCCTGGATTCTATAAAGCATTTGCTGGAAATGTAAAGTGCTCCAAGTGCCCTCCACACAGTTTGACTTATGTAGAAGCAACTTCTGTCTGTCAGTGTGAGAAAGGTTACTTCAGAGCTGAGAAGGACCCACCAACTATGGCATGTACCCGTAAGTCTGATCAGTACCAGTGTCTGCAATTCTTTTCTCCTATGCCTCATTTATTTATTTTTCTATTTTGAAAAAATGACAGGAGTTTGTACATTTTGTGAAGAATCCCATTCAAGATAACCAAAAGAGATGTCTAAAAGCAAAATTCAAACATCATATTTCTACTTCTAAAAATACTGACATGTTTCTTAGTTTGATGACTTTAAAACTTGTAGTTTTGAGAGATAATACAAAGTATGTAGTCATTGTCATCAAGAAAACAATGTTGAGTTTTAACTACCAGTATGTATTTTAAATACATGAGAATATGTTTGTATAAAAACTTCCAAAAAACTGAGAAGCCACAAAAAGGAAAAACCTGATATGACATACTCTTCTGTCTCCTCAGTTTTAAATAAAAATTATAAGACAAATATCATCCCAATACCATCCCAACACAATGGAATAAGAACTGAACTCTAAAAAAAGACAAGAAAATCATAAAAAGGAAAAAGATGTATCCAGTCTGAAAGAGATATAATTAAACTCTCTTGCATATCATCTTCTTTCAACAGGGAGTTATTCTTTCTTATACAACTGTGATAATGAAAGTTCTTTAGTTTTTTAATAATTTTTATAATACAACATTTTGTGATTTTTGACTAATCTAATTTTGTCATTGAGACAAAACTGATGCCCAGCAACCTAGGAGCAGAAATTCAGACCGAGAAGAGATTTTTATTACTTTGATCAATGTGCTCATGTCTGATAACATGAAGCATAAATTTCCTTTTCACATAATAAAATAATTCTCATAGATTTTCATACACTGTTCATTGCTCACTAGGATTCATTTATTGATCATAAAGCAACTATATCTGTTTAATCTTAAAACTGGGAACAAATAGCATTTAAAAATCTGTGGGTGGAACACTATATTTACATATAAAATCCTATTGTTAATAAAGACGATTAAAATCTGCAAATTTTCTAAGATACCTAGTTTTCTATGTAGCATCTTGTTAGCTCTTCCGGTGAATTATTTGATTCAAGTATATTTTTTGCCACAGTCCTCTTAAGAGAATTCTAAAAATATTAACATGTTAAATGCATGAAGTATTTTATCAGAGTGAGTTTACAAAAAGCTTAAGAGATAACACCGTGAAAACCAAGTACTGCTGCAATAACCATCAGTGCACAGTCATAATTTTGGTATGTTTACACTGTGTAAGGCAGCACCATATAAAAATAGCTGAGCTGACACTAGCAGAATTGAACTGCTTCCTGTGCTCATGCTAGTATCTCCAAATGGCACTGTACTGGGCAAATTGGGAATATACCAAGTAATTTGGAGCTGATTTACGAAGTCATAGGCACTCTGTAATCCTGAGGTCATTATGTAGACCATAATTGTCCATCCACTAAATGGGAGTGATGGTCACCAAAAATGGCGTTCCTCAGATACAAGGCACTTTGCAGAAAGTTATCTAATGTAGCTGTAGGGTTTTCAGATGGGAAGGGTAAATCCCAGCCCCCAGCTACTTAAAGGACATAGGGTTCAGAGAGGCACCTCAATCCAACGCACACGATCTGCTGTCAGCTCACTCTGGAGCAAGGCACATAGGTCTATCTTTTTGCACGAAGTATGTGAGGGAAAAACAATGTTGTTCCAGACTTCCCGCAGGAAAATGGTGATTACAGATAATTCCACTCAAATGAGTGCCCCAAGCACAGGCCATTAAGGCCTTACACACAGAACTAACACACATCCCAGGCGCTCTTGACAGTTTCATGCTTAGAAAGATGGTTTCACTCATGCATTATGCAGATGTGGTTCCATATTATTTATAAGTCATTGATTTTTCATCTCCAAAAGACAGTTCTTCTCTGAAAAAATTAGTCATATGTGGCATTATGTTTCCATAATTATCTTTCAGGGCACAGTTTTAAGCCCTGCTACCCATTAGTATTGATAAAGTAGGGAGGAGTATGAAAGCCCTGTGGCATCAGGGGGCAGGTACCTACAACACCCTGGTACCTTCCCAACAAAAGTGGGGTGCTGAGAGCTGCTTTGGTCAAAAACTGTCAGGGAAGACTTGCTGCCAGACCTCTCCAGTCCTGCTGAGGATGTCAGCCAAAGCAACCAAGTGAGTGGAGGCAAGGAAGAAATCAGCCACAACCGAGATACCCATCTCACCCCAACTTGGTAAAAATAAAAAATAAAGGAGACAGTGAACCACATTCTAGTTTCTGCTGCTTGTTCAGTGCCACCATACATTGCATCTCATTCAGCCTAGACTGCAAGGTATCAGTACTTCATTGACTGTAACATCAGATGTATTCATCTTATACCTATGATGATGATTATTTCACTAATTGTCAGCTCTGCAAATGACACCGAGACTCTTGACAGGCAGACTGCATTCTTATCTTCTTGCACATCATCAGTAATGAAGAGTCTGCAGGCCAAATTATTCCCTAAGTGATATCTTTAGCCCCACTTCTTTCAAATTATGCTCTCAGTTATTACAATTATGTTTCTGTCATAAATACAACCTCACTGCCTTCGGTGGGTCTATGCAGATGTGGCTAATTTAAATTTAATAAACAAAGATACAGATATGAATAGAATTTAGATGGTTCTTTCCAAACTGTCATGCTTTACTGTAACAAAAGGAGTTGAAAAGTTGGGGGAAAAAATGAGCCAATTTAACTAAATAGAGAGAAAAGGCTGTGCAGTAAGAAAATGGATTTTTCTACATAACCATTTTTTTGGCAGATCTGCATTTTTGATACTCATTTGCAAATTTGTATCCTGACACTTGAGATTTGACATAGGAGATTAGAAATTTTCCCCGTGACCTTTTTAAATGAGAGTGGTTCTTGAATGAAACACAGAAAAAATAGTGGATTCCCCTTACAGATTTCTTCATATTCAAACATTTTGAACCAGCTGTATTCATACCTATTTTACTTGCTTCCCCAAGTCCTGCAAAGCAATATGCCTAAGATAGGTAGTTATTTTATTCTCTCTCTTTTCATTCATCTATAGGGTTAGACAGTATTCCTCACTCCAGATTTTTTCACCAGTACTGGAAAACTTGCATATGCAGCATTATGGAAAATAAGGACCTTGATTTAAGAGACTATGAAATTAAGGGTTTAGCTTCAGGCATCTACTTTTTTCAAGATGAGCTTCAAATCTAATTTCATTAATTCTGTGAAAGTGCATACTGTATGCTTTTCCAAAATTGTACAGTTCCCATTTTTAATTCATGTAACTGTACTTTGTAAAAGAAGAGCATGCACTTTGCAGAATAGCGTAATAGAAATCTAATTTTAATAAGAGGAATGAAAATGACATTAGGATATATTGTTAATCTCTTTCTCTCTCCTTTTTTCATTTGATTGGCACTTGTTATCAATCTCTTGCTGCTACTCTGTCTCCTTATTGTATTTCTTTGCCATATGTGAGTACTCTATCAGTGATCTCTCTGCACACACAGTGAGCAACAAATAGCATCATATCTAATCCCCTGTCTGATTACTCTGTACGTAAACTCTAACATGTGCCACTATAGTGTAATTGGATAAATTGATCCATCTTTTCAAGGTCAAAGGCAGGCAGGCTTATATTGGGTGTCTGAGTCTGAATGCATCTCTTTTCATGTTATGCTTAAACAATTTTGAACCTAACAAACTTATGCTCTGTTCAATAACCTCTGCCACAAACTGCATCCTCTATTTTTAAGAGTCAACACTGTATTCCAGCCACAAAATAAAGCAACATGCTTGAAGCCTTTGACTGTACTGCTTCTATTGTTATTTTTATATATATACAAGTTTGCAATTTATCATTACGCTCAGACTTGCAGTATTGGTTTACAGTCATTGGCTTCCATTCTTCCTGCCTGCCTCACAGGAAAAGAATAAGTGATTCTGAAAAGGAAAAAATGTAATACAGCATTCTACATCAAGTGGCACTACTTAGCTATGCTGTATGTATGTATATCAAAAAGTAATTATGAATTCAAGGGGTACAGCCAGATGCTGATTCTGAATATTCTCAGAAGACAATGGTTAATTTTTGTCCTTTCACTGTAAATTCAGTAGTCAAATAACACACACTTCTAAGAATCCAATAGTTGGTAATGGACAGTTCTCACTTTAAAAACAACAATTTTTTTTTTCCAGACTGTCGTCACTGTGTAGTGTTTAAAATGCTGCATTGCCCTCACTAGACTTCTGCAGCATTGGGTTTGCTCCTCTCTCCTTCCATAAAGGGCATAATGCACTTCAGCTTCACAGAGGGAGAGGACAGGCAAAGCAAGATGAGGTGCGAAGCACTGCATGAGGCATAAAGTCAGCTCTGTTGCTTCTGGAGTGGGCCTGCTTCTCTATAAGACATCAATGCCAGTCTACTCCACAGAGAGTGTAGAAATACTTCCTACATTATAATTTGTAAATGAAGCAAACAACATTGCTCACACTCAAGCTGTGTTTCATCTAAGAAGCAGAAGAGCTACATTTTTTTAATGCTCATCCATCTGAACTCTGTTTTACTCTTTTTGCATAAAATCCGAAGTCATGAATTTTGCTGTGAGGAAAGGATCCATCATTTTCACCAATATACTTGTTTTCCTTAAAAACCATTATAAGGAAATCCCTGAGAGCTTTGCACACAGATGTCTGCAGAAGGCTTATTGCTGCCAAGTTTTTCCAATGTGTCAAATAATCTTTGTATAATTTATAAATGATAACAAAGCAATCAGGCCACATTCATAAAAGCCCAGTGACACGTAATTTAGCTGAATCTGAGGATTAGAATTAATTGTCTCTCTTTGTTCCAAGTTCTAAATCTTAGTAAATGATTCACTGCATGTCATTACAGCTTAATATTTGCATGAAATCACAGTTTAACTGGCATAATTTAACAGCAATTAAAAAGCTATTTAATCGTCATGCAAATTGGCATGAGGGGCCTTGAGTATGAAGGGTGTCTGAGGTTTTTTCAGTATTTGCAGGCGGACAGTCATATACTTTCAGACACCCCTAACATAATTCATTGAAATGTGAATGTACAATAATTCATATTTTCTCTTACAATTGAGGATTAAGTCCCAAGTCATGAATATAACAACCTTCACTCTCTAGTACAAATAAAAAATAAGTTTGAAGAACCCTATATTTTATCTACTGTACTGGTTCTTTGACTGATGCCTTCTACATATAGTATAACAAAAATCTGATAGAAAATTTGAATTGACAAAGACAGACAAAAGTCTCTTATTGCCCGGATTCACATTAATTCGTGTTTTGGCCTGCCAAAGTTGATGAAGTAACATAAAAAAAACCTGAGCTATGATGACCCATTGTCATGTCTGTAGTTTATATAAGAAATAAATTTAAGCCAGTTTTAAAACATTGGCTCCAATCCTTTGAGCAATTACACACATGCTTAGTTTTAAGTGCATGAGTATTACCAATTATTTCAAGGGGATTACTGATCCGCTTAAAGTTATGCATATATGTAAGTGCGATTAAGGCTCATCCTCCATATTCCTAAAATTCCTTGGTGGTTTCTGGAATTTTTTAACACCAGTCATTATTTAATTCTCACAGCATATTTTTAGAGGAAACCTAATTATTCCTGTCTTCTGCACATAAATAATAAGAACTGAAGCTGAAGTAATCTGTGCTAGTTTTAGCTTATTCTGATTTCAGGACTATTTTCCAGAGTAGCTAGAACCATCAACCTCACAGTAATTTTATGGGAAGTTTAGAGATTTGTAAATCTGTAACCCTCTAAGGTTGTAGGGACTTTTGGACCACATCAGCATCTTCAAGGCTGTACCTTGTCTCTGTTTTTCACACAATTGGAAAGCAATGTATCAATATAATTAGCCTTTGTAAACAAGTCGGATTTATAAATACTTACATATGACAGTATTTCAAATTCTTCATTGTTAGACTGATCACAAGGTCACAGTCAAAGACCAGTAAGGAAATACTCAAACTATTCTCTGACCATAAAAATTGCAAATTACAAAAATAATTTTCATCTGACGGGTTCCAGAAATTTCGATCTTCAGTACAAATGAGCCACGTACCGTTCAGCTAAATGCTTCCTTGATATGCTGAAAAATAACTGGTCTTGATGGTCAGGGGCTTTTGAACTCTATGAACTCTGTACAGATAAATATACAAATAATTACTCACACATTCAAAATATTTTAAACTTTCTTGTCCACTGTAAAAATACAAAGCGATGTAACACCTCCAAATATTTTAATTATCAAGTGCTTGAAATCCAGCAGTTAACTCATCATTTACCTTAGGGCAAAAATCATTTTAATGAAAACATAGTCTCGGTTATTTAAAGTTACGAATAAATGCCAGAAAGAAAAAAGAAATTCAAATGTTCAACTACGGTTCACAGAAAACCTTAACATTTATTGGTTCACATTATCCCTCCCACGCCATACAAATCCTTTTTTCTCTTTACAAGCGTTGCAGATTTTATACCCACATTTATGCCACATAAGTAAACAAAGCACATCATTTAAAAATTACAAATGTTGGTGAATAGTGACCTTTTTTCTGCAACTTTTATTGCCTCTTTCCTTCATTAAAGCTAGTATTCATTCTTGCTGCTATGTGTAGGTACAACTGCATAGATCTTTACTACTATATAGTTTATTAATAAAATGTAAGATATAGTAATGTTTTCTGTTGAAGTACAGTCCATTTTAGCATTCAGGGTCATCTTCAAGAATTAAGAACTTGAATAAATTGATTTATTTCAGTTGTAGGTGCATATTTCACAACCACTCAAGGGCTCGATTTTCTAAATCACTACATTTTGTTCAGTCAAATAAATAGCTAAAAGTTTGAAAACCAAATCAGCATATCAGTGCTGTAGTAATTGCAGATTCTAAAGAAAAAAAGAAATAATGGAATTGAATTATTAGAAAAAAATAATTGTTTGGTTTTTTCTGAGATTTAAGATCTTGATTTACATACAAAATGTTAGGAGGAGCTTTGATATTTTGTTTTCCTTCCTAATGCAAAGTTCTGACCGTTTATCTGACCATCTTTTGGGCACAAGGTCTTGCCCTCGTCCTACAAGTTGTTGAACTGGAATTTACAAGAGTGTTGACCAATATTTTTGTTTGTTTGTTTAGTTCTTCTCTCATTGTCTTAGAGTTTTTGTAAAGGACATTATGATATTTTAGTTATCTGACTCTCTCACATTTACCTGCCACTCAATTTGTTGGGTGAAATACACTCTGTGTAAGAATTAGCTGGTGTCATTTGCAAATATTTCATATAGTCTTTCAGTCTGCTTGAGAGGCCCTGAAGTAATGAAAAGCTCACTTGAAGTTTAACCAGTATCTCAATCAAAATTTTATACTTAAGTCTTGCTGGCAGGTTGTATAAATCATGAAAAGCTGCAAAGCAAGCTGAAAGTTTTCAAAGTTCTGCCAACCATTGGCTAAGCAATCCATATGCACTGTGATTTTATGTTGAGAGCTGGGAATATAATGCTTATTCAACTCATTCATCTCAAAAAACCCCAGAGATTGCCAGTTGAGTTTACTACAGTCATCTTACATGTATGAAAACCTGGAGTATAAGGCCTTGCATTTTGCCAAATCTGTGTTTCTTACATACATTTGGTGAGCATATTTGGGGTCTATATACAAATTTCTTTTGAAAACCATGCATCCATAAGTGCTTGGTTGAAATATGTTAAGCGGAAGAAGAAGAATATAATAAGAAATGGAGATAAGATTATTCAGAATTCCTTTAACAATTTCTGCCTTTCCTTCACCCCTTCACTAATTCACATCTGAAGAATCATGAGGCAGTGAAGTTCTTCCATCAGACTGTGAAAGCTGGTACGTAAAGCCTCAGTTGATTTACATGTGATCCTACACAGTTAGTCAGCATAACAGCTTAAAACTTGTTGGACGTACCTTGACTATTGTGGGATCCATGAGAAATGGTCACTTGTGGTTCATTCACACAGAGAACTTTACCACCTGCTTCCTAGCTGAGAGCTTTCCTATACTCTGCCTGCTGCTACTATCTTTGCATTCCTCCCCACAGTCTTCAAGAATTATTTTTTCTCCTGCTTTGCGGCCATCGTTTTAGATCTTTAGCTTGCGAGGTTGATGTCTTCACTGTTACACTGATGCTGATGAGATGCCAGGTGGGAAAGAAAAAACTTGTAAACTATCTCTTGTGCCTAATAGTCTTGGCCTGTTGCCACCTAACTCTGTTAATGAACAGCAGCAAAGAAATCCCTAGGGATAAGCAGTGAAGGATAGAAAAAATACCTGGCACTGCAGAACTAATACAAACAATTTTACCTCTTGTAGTTTGTACTAGACATAAAATAAGGAAACAAATTTTGTGGTTAAAGCTCTAGCCCAGTATGCCACGAGATCAAGAGATATTTAGTGCAAATTTGTGTTATCTAGTCTAGGTTTGACATTCCCAAGTCATTTTTATGTTGCCTTAAATTACTTCCGAATTAATTCTAATTTATTTAGATTATTCAGGTTTTTATGATCTCACCTATTTATTATTCCTGCTTAATTTTCAGAGATTGTAAGTATTTAGATAATTTTTAATTTGTCCATTGAATTTGTTATTGAAACGTAACTCTTTTAACTTCTGTTTGCAAATAATTGCCTTAAGACCAATATATTTTTTCATGGTTTGGTTTTTTTTTCTCCAAAATAAACAACTGACTCTTAACAGGCATTCTCCTCCTTCTCTGCAGGGCCACCTTCTGCTCCGAGGAATGTGATTTTTAACATTAATGAAACAGCTCTCATGTTAGAATGGAGCCCCCCAAGTGATACTGGAGGAAGAAAAGATCTCACTTACAGTGTCATCTGTAAGAAATGTGGGTCAGATGCCAGCCAGTGTGAGATTTGTGGGGGAGGTATCCGTTTCATCCCCAGGCACACAGGTCTCATCAACTCGTCTGTGACAGTGCTTGACTTTGTGTCGCATGTGAACTACACCTTCGAAATAGAAGCCACAAATGGGGTCTCGGAGCTGAGTTTCTCTCCCAAGCAGTTCACAGCTATCACGGTTACCACAGATCAGGATGGTAAGTCCCAGCACTGAATGTCTGTTATTGTGCCCTTGTCACCTATGCACTTAACTGGGGGGATCATTTTGTTTCTTGGAAGTCTGGGTAAGCAAGTTAGAAGTTTTGCAGATTGTTACACATTTTTGAGTGCTTTTGACGAAGACTTCCAGCTTCTGATGATGAGGGCATTAAATGCTTTTGGCAGTTGGCCCTTGACGCCAATACAGAGGGCACAAAAACATATCTTCCTGTTTAAAATTAAGTGCAAGCTTGAACTACCTGAGACAACTGTATCAGTGGTTCATCGGAACTGGAGTCTGCATCTGGTGTTTCTCCAAGTCTTTCATTACAATTTCTGTTTTGAAACAGTAGAACACCACAGGTTATCTGTTGCAATTTCACAAGTCTAAGGTGAAATGAAAGTGAACTCACTTCCTTTAGTACCCATGTTTCATAGCACTAACACAGCATGCTTCCCTGTAAGGTATTTCAGCGTCTGTCTGAGCCATTTCCTTAGGTGAGGTATCCTAATAGATTTTTTTGTTCCTTTTATTGTCCACTTTGCATTTTCAGTTTTGAGCTTTTTCTTCCCCCCATTTCAGTTCAAATTTGTGTCCAAGGCCGACATTTATAAAAAACATGGGAAACTAGAAGAGTTCTATATTTTTGTTTATTTCTGCAACTTTTTCCTCTTCCATCTTTAGGAATACTTACTATGCCAGGAAACAGCCTCATAGGTTACCAACAAAGCAACCTATATAGCAGTGTTATCTTCTGGCTTGTGTTACTGTAGTTGAGAAGGTTATTTCAAAATTATCCCTTGCTGACATTTGTTCCAGAAATGTTTTTCACCTACTGTGCAGTGACATTGCAACTGTAGCTGAAGTGTTTAATGTAGAACAGGAACCGCACTGGCAAAACTATGGTTTTGAGTAGAAGACCTTTGATAATATGAAAGTATTTAGTAAAAGTGCTAATATTCAGGAGGATCCTGTTATTTTCCACTTGTAGGAGGGCCTGGGTTCTTTCATTGATCAGCCTAGCAAAAATCTGCTTACCTGTGTATCTGGGACAAGTAGTTTTGTTGATGAGTAAGTAATGACTTGTTTGCCTTTGGGCATACAAAAATTAACAGCTTGCTGTGGTGATGATAATGACAATGGTAATCCTAATAATATTCATGAAAATGGATTAGAAAAAGCACAAAACTACTCACTCACTGTTCATGTGATGATGGTAACAGAAGAGCTAATTATATAAGATGCCTAATGATATATGCCTTGCACTGAGAATTGCCTTAAGCTCTTAGGCTATGTATCATGTTGTGAACCTGTATCTCTCTCTTCCTTTCTAATTAAAAAAAAAAAAATCTGGTGCCAGAAACTACCCCTATGTATATTTATTTTTAGATATTTTGTTACATGGTACTAAATGCAAGTCACCAAGCATGCACAAGTGGAGGTCACCAGAGATATGGTGGTTTTTTAAACTGACTAACAGCTGTGTGAACACAGCTTGTGATGTGTATTTAAGTGGTGGGCTTTTAAAAAATGTCTTTTGCTGTTGTCTGTTCCTGGTTTAAGGATACAGATTTTCACTGCAGTTTACTCAAACCAGGGAAAAGACTGATGTTTTGATAATTTGTGACATACTGACAGTAAACTCTAGAGTGTAGGCTGCTTGCATTCCCTATAATAATTCTTACATTACTAAAAATGCTGTTGGAAGGGCTTCAGAGAATTTAAGACCAGATTTCCAGAATATCTCTCAGTTTATTTGGATATAAAAAGACAGCTTTGCAGGAGAAAGCATTGTAATAAATGAAATGGAGGCATCTATAAAATGTAGTTATAAAGATAAAACCATTTTTGCAGGCTAACTGTGTAGTTGTATAAAATCATAAGCATGATAACTATATATTTAGAAGTAAAAGAGAGAAAGATAGTGTCATATGAAACATGGATGATAATTAATGGAGTTTTGGTTGGTGGAAATTATTGAGAGGACAAGAAACGTTTTTTGTGAGTTTCTTTTAGTCATAAATAAAAAGTGATATGGAGAAACCTAGGGTATCTAACCTCAGAAAAGGAAGCTGTAGAACTAAAGCTTCAGAATGTTGCAGAGACTATTAATGTTTATAAATCACAACAAAGTTCTGAGATAAAAGGATTAGTGACCTTTTTTATTTTTGCTGCTAGTCAGCTATTGGTAAAAAATGTATAGTTTTGATTTTGCTATATTTACCAAAAATGCTAAATAATCACCTTTATATTACATTTCTTTTTTCTAGCTATACCACCAAACAGGAAACCCACTGTTGCAGTGTTTCCTTATAAACTTAATTATACTGAAATGGACAGTACTTATTGCATGTTGTTGCAGGTTTGTGCACATGTTCATATAAAACAAAGATCCAAGATTTTGGGACAAGGGGTAATGGTTTTAAACTAAAACAGGGTAGGTTTAGACTAGATATAAGGAAGAAGTTCTTTACAATGAGGGTGGTAAAACACTGGAACAGGTTGCCCGGAGAGGTGGTGGAGGTCCCATCCCTGGAAACATTCAAGGCCAGGTTGGACGGGGCTCTGAGCAGCCTGATCTAGTTAGCGGTGTCCCTGCTCACCGCAGGGGGGTTGGACTAGATGGCCTCTAGGGGTCCCTTCCAACCCAAAACATTCTATGATTCTATGATTCTATGATTCTATGATTTTATGCATGATGTGACAAAAATCAAAAAAATATCTTAATATGTACAGGGACTGCATTACCAGAAGTCCAAACATTGGTTTAAAACAATTTTTCTCTTTTGATGTGTGTCTAATATGAAAGATCTAGATCTATAATAAAATATACCTACACAATATATTTTTCCCACGTTCATAGTAGCTTTTTATATGTAATATTTTCATGCCTACTGTTCTAATATTTTTGGTATAGACATCACATGAAGTGATAGACCTCTTTATAAATACATAAATCATTTTCTTCAATTGTCATATCTTTGTTAAGAATATAGAACAATATCTTCCACTGTTGTAAATCCAGATCATGCTGTTAGCTGTAATAATTTACAGTAGCTGAGGAGCTAGCATTTTATTTTCTTTAACCATATTGGATTTACTTCCCTCTAGTGGCCCTTTCTTTTTGATGGTTTATGTGAAATTAACAGATTCTTCTTTAAACATGCAAAATTATTAGCTTGTCCTTCAGGGTTTTTTGTCTTTTTGGAGAAGATATTTCTGTTGGCATTTTGCTGAATAAAGTAATGCAAGGAAGAGTACTATGGGCAGCCATAAAAACTAAGGAACTGTATTCTATGTCAGTTAGAGAGTCGAGTAGTCTGAGAGCATCCAAGAGGGAGAATATTTGCTGACAGGAAAGGTGAACTAATTCGAAAGTGATTAAGGCTCATCTTTATGCACAGAACTCTACCACAACTAATATTAAAATCTTAACTGCCTCCTCATGCAATCACCAGCATCAACAAGATTAAGCACACTGCTCAGCTCTAACAATGGCAAGAAGCAGACTAAAGGAAAATGCTTTGAAAAGGCTTTGCAAACTGCAACCCGCAAACCTCTCTGTGATTTGAAGACTAAAGCATTACCAGACCTGATCAAATACTGAAAAAAAAAAAAAAAATTACTAACATTAATATAAGTAATATAAAATTAATTTGGTAGCATTTGTGACTTTTTTAGTTACTAATTTTGTACAAATATTCGTAAATTCGATATCCATGGATTTCATTTTCACCCCCCAACTTCATAAGGAAACAAAGTTTCTGTGGTCACATTGTCTGTCAGGCACCATAAAGAGCTGTGAACCCATTAGCCAACATGAGTTTGATAACAGAGAAAAAAGTTTCACAGATATTATGTTCTCTCAACAGAGGTGTGAAAAATGACCACTTACAGTCAGCAAGCTGTTGGCTGGGTCTGCAAGTCGAAAAGCAGGGTTCAGCTACATAAGGCTTGCTTACTGGACTGGAGATGCCAGCTGACTGACCACTTAACCTGCCTATTGGCTGGTCAGGAAAGAAAGAATACATATAGTTCTTGTATTACCAGAGCACGTGCTGTGTCTTGTCCAGAAGTGTGACAAACAAGGATGAGGTTTGGATGTGTTAGGAAGTGCAGATGTTGCAGATGGAGAGATGAGGGAAGTGAGCTATATGCTACTCTTGCATAGCTTTGTTTCAGAATGTTTTGAGATATCAAAATAATCCCTACTTGAAATTCAGATAAATGGACAGATAAACAGAAGGAGATTCTGTTCAGAAAGGCACTTCAGCAAATTCCCTGTTCAAGGAAGTACATTAGCACACATTAAGTGCTCTCCCAAATCACTGCCAAAGTAATTTGTAAACAACTGAAAGGTAAAACATGTTTTCAAAAAAAGCCTCATCAAAAAATATTTAACAATACTGTTCTTCAGAGAAGTGCCTGGATGCCTTTTCTTTATGGGAGAGAGAAAGTTTTATACAGCAGTAAATGTGCTGAGTATGAAGTAATTGTACTCAATCGACTTTAAATCATTGTGTGAAGAAGCAGAGAATTATATGCTGAATTGTAATTTATGTTTCTCTTATGACTAATGGAAGGAAGAGACACCTCACTATATAACTTTCTTAGCATACCTTAGAGTCTGCATTGCCTAAAGAACATTCAGAAGTGCTTGAGGTTTTTTCATACATAATTAAAGTAGTAAATAATGAATAATTAAGCAAAACAGAACATAAAACACTAGTTCCTATTTCCAAATAGTAGTCCACATACGCATTCACTCAGTAGGCATTCATATGTGCTATTACTTGAGAACAGAGGGGTGTTTCAACATTACGCTATGCAGAGGGGGAGTAGAGTCATGAGACATATCCTGAGTACATGGTTATACAGACAGATAGTGACCTGCTCCATTGCAGTCCACCATTTCAACTGCATCACTGAGGAGCAGCACTCCGGAGCTATAGTGTTTCTCTGACCGAGTAGTTTCCTGGTTGTCCGGTCTGCATCTTC